TTTCAACTTTTATCTAATTTTATCTTTTTCTCACATTCCCATTAGCGTTTAAATGATATACTTAATTTATCATATAATTTGTTTACAAAAATACCCACACACTCGCACGCATGCATACATACCAACATAGTCCAATTAAATGTTAAAATATTGTTATTTGTGAAGGAGGAAGCCAGTTCACTGGGTTATTGTGTAATTTTGTGAGTTTAAACTCATTTCTCCAAAGCAGAAACTTCGCTGACACCTTACACGAGCTTATAATTAAAATCATTTTGTATCGATCTCAATGAAATTCGCGCTACATTTAAGTGCAATAAATTATCTATGTGCGAAGCGGTTTGGGCGGACAGGTGAATAAAAAAGTAGATCTTGTTTATATTCGATTTTCGTGAAAGAAAAGAAACGTTTACTTTGGCACATATTAACTCATGTTAACAAATCAACCATATATCTTCTAAATTTATAGGCGCATAATAAATATTTGATAATTTTGCTTTCAAAATCCAAATCACTATTATTGCTCTGGCAACAAAACTGCAAAAATCCTCAGCGATTTATCTCAGGCATGCATAGTAATTGCCAAAATATCTAAGTTAGAGAAATCATTTGTAATGGAAAACTTTTGAGGTGGCAGAACCTCAGTTACAAAGTCTCTTATCTAGCTAATTCAGTACCAAACTTTTATTATAATGCGTGATTCAAGTATAGGTACTTTTTTCAATAGCCTTTTTTGATAGAACATTTTGTTCAATATTGTTGGACATTTCATCATGGAAAGACTTACGCATAAACAACGGCTACAAAACATTGAACTTTATTTCGAAAATTCTTGATCTGTAAAGATTCGACGCCGTTCGCATCAACTCGGACTGCCGTCTGGAACGACCTGGCGCATTTTACGTCGCGATCTAAAATTGAAAGCTTGTGCAAGAACTAAAGCCGGTCGACTTTCCGAAGCGACATCGGTCTATGAGCTCTTGAAAGAATTCGACCTAACCAACGAATGTTCTTTCGAATGATAATAAACATTCCCCTTTAAATTTGGATTTTCTGTGTGTCATCTTTGAAAAAGTAGGGAAGAACGAAATAGATCACCTTTTAGTTTACCTTAGCAATAAAGTAAAACATCCGTAGCGGTATTAACCTTCACAAATACAAAATGTTCATATATGAATTCGAGTTTTATATACTGTTTATGGTCTTGCTGCTTAGAGCAAAAGCATACTTCACACCTTTTGTTATGCCCACAATTTCGAACTGAAAAACTCATTTGTAGTAATTTAGTTTGGAGTTGCCTTTTGTGTTTGGATTACCACAGAAGAAGCCCACCCCTCTTATTTCACTCTATGATCGTGGAACTGTCCATCACTGTACTATTGACCCTTACGTTAGCATGGTTCATCAATATAACACAAACTATTGAGTAATTGCCAATGTCCAATGTGCTAATGAATTTTAAAAATATATCTATATCATCAGGGATATAAAAACTGTTTTATAGTCGAATTACAACACCTTTCTTTGCTTATCGGTGTCATATCGCTTCAGCAATATAATCGCCACTATCAGTTATACACAATACAAGCTCGGAGGCAACAATTTCAATTCCCCTAAAAGCGGCTAAACAGTTATATAAACAACCATTACAAAGAAAATGTATTCTTTATCATGTCTTCGAATGCTTAAGAGCTCAGCAGCGGCACCGCAAGAAAGTAAAATAAACGAAAACTCCTACCGAGTACGTACATACACATGTATATATGTATATGTAATTCATTCTGCACATATATTTCTATGCATTTCTGCAAGTGCTTTTTGCAAACGTTGCTGATTGAATGATTTTAGAGTTCAAAGCGTTTGACCTCACCTTTTGTGGTGATTTGCAATGAAAACATGTAATGAGGAAGGATCTATGTGTAGATACACATGCAACATACGGTTACCTACTACTCATACCCAAAGATGCTTGGCGATTTGCTGCGGTGAAGAATGGTTGTTTTTGCTGAAGCGACTCGGAGATAGTTGGGCTTTATCGCTAGCTTTTGTGTGCCGTCATAATTGTAGTCGGTTTATGGTTGGCTTAAGTGATTGTTAGTTTTGTTGTTTTAGCTTTTTATTGTCGCCGAGTGTTAATAGCTATCTGCTTGGCACTAACGCCCATTCACTGCACACTTTAATCACACAGTCACGCCTGATTATTTCAATATAACGGTGCATAAATCCTTTACTATTTATTGCATAAGTATTCTTATACATATACATACATATATGTATATTAAGTGTACGTATATGTGTTAGCAATAAGCTCACGTAATAGGAAAAGTAAAGTTTTGGGCATGTTATGGATTTTTTCAATTACACTCTTTCATTTTACTATGAAGCAATTTAAGGTGTAGATGATTGATCTGTGCAAAAATTTGTTATGGAATCTAGTTTAACTTTACTTAAAAAGCGACATTTCGAATTAAATACGTCAAATTTTCACCAGACTGAGGTTGAAACATCTTGGTAGACTTTTTGGCTTCAAAATGGTTGAAATTAATGCTGCATCGATTGATGCAGGGCTTTTGATCAATATCTACGAGTTTTTAGCATCAGAAACGACCACTGTTTGCAGTTGTCAGAGTGGGATCCTTCCAAAACTTTGAGGCGGAGATCAGCTCAATGTGCTGATCGAACGAGATATTTATATAATGATTTCAAAAAATTCTTTGAAGATTTAATCTTATTTTACCACAGAGAAGTTGGCGTATTTGAGCTAAATACATGTATGTATTTGTAGTATCCAGGTGCTTATAATAATATTAAAATGAAAGGATAAGATACTGTTGAAAAACACAAAACCATTTTCTTGGAAACAATTCTCAGCCGTCTATCGAAAACTATGTATATATGGTCCAATTGTACATACGTGAACTGGTCCCTCAGATTTTGAGTTAAAAACCTGAAATTTTATACCCAACTGACTACAGACTAACCGATTAAACTCGAGTCCTTGTATGGACAACTTTTTGCAAGATACCTTTACGGATTATTTTCTAGAGCAGCGCTATAACCTCCTAATTTTCAAATTACTGATACTGACCGATCAAAATCAAGATAAAGATCTTTATATAACTCTTTTAGGATGTTCTTTCTAAGTATTTTTCCAAGTAGCTTTGAATTTGGAGTACAAACGATGATTACATAAGTTTAAAGTCCAACGGATGCAAAATCTCTAATTAGAAAGCAATCATTTTTTTTTTTATCACTTCTCTTTAGATCATTTCTTTATGTTTCTATGCTTATTTTCAATCGGTTTGCACAAAATTTATTACTTCGGAGCACAAGCTGCAAGCTATACTACCTAGAATAAAAATTGAGATATCTTGATGAAACTTGGTATACGCGTTCCTTACGCAAATTACGAGTTCGTAAATGGACGTAATCGGCCACACCCACAAAACGCCAGTAAAGAAAAACCTATAAAGGCCATCACTAAGGACTAAATTAAAATACGAAGCTCTAATTTGACACTTGGGATCGTATTATAAAGTGTTGCTGTGGACAAAAAAGTGGACGTGGTAAAATCCTCTAAAAAGTTTAGTGAACATACCTCCGAAATCACTAAAAAACCAAATTTTTTTAGCTCAGATACTATAAGAACTTCTACGGGCAGTGTGAAATTGATAAAATTAAAAGGTAACCCCGCTCGCTCCATATATAACGGCACTGTTCAAAACTACTAAAATTGCGAAAAATTAAAAACTAATTACGCCAGAGACCTTAAGTTTTACCTCAGAAACGGTATGAGAGGGCCTTATAGGAATCGGTGAGAAAATTGGACGATGGGTGTGACACCCCCAGCTTTTTGATGAATCTCATATCTTGGAACCTTACCGACCGAGTTCAACTAAATTTATTATTATATATATCGATCAATGTGTGGAATATGCAACTGAAATTCAAAGAGATTAATTTCCTGACAATAGTGATTTGTGTATAAACAAAAAACTTTGGTTGCACCGATGCTGAATACCCTTCACGGGTGCATTCCTGTTAGTTACTATATGTTAAGTTTGTATGGAAGCCATATGCTATAGTAATCCGTTCTGAACAATTTTTTTGGAGATTATATTGTTACCTTAAGCAGTAATCCATGCCGAATTTCGCGAAGATACCACGTCAAATGTGAAAGTTTTCTATACAAGAACTTGATTCTGACCGTTCGGTTTGTATGGCAGCTATATGCTATAGTAATCCGATCTGAACAACTTCTTCGGAGATTTTATTGTTGCCAAAAAAAAATAATCTCTACCAAATTTCGTGAATACATCTTGTTAAATGTGAAAGTTTTGCATAAAAGTACTTGATTCCGATCATTCTGTTTGTATGGCAGCTATAACATATAGTGATCCGATATCGGCAGTTCCGTTAAATGAGCAGCTTTTTGAAGAGAAAGGGTTGAATCGGGTGAATACTGGATTTACTCCATTGTATGTGAGGTACCTTAATGAAACCCAGTTTAAATTTTTTTAGGATATGGCATGACAATAGTTAATGGATGAAATCGGTTCTATACTACCTCAACTCACAAGATTTGATTTTCGTTTTTCCTACAAATCTTATGCCTTATATATCGGTCAGGGTTTGAGTTGTATAGAGTATATAGTATATATGTATATATAAAATATATTGCATTTCGATCCGCTGGTTGACTTTTTAAACCTTAAGGTATTTCTCTGATTTTGATTCCAGGTAAAAGTCACGTCGAATAACAAGTAGTTGGGTATCAAAATATTTTACAAATTTTAGTAAAATTAACATATTATTTAAAACAAAAAATATTTTGTTGTTTTTAGCACTTTTTATGTTTAATTATTAATTTCATTTAATTAATATTTCTTTTCTTCAAATTATGCAACAATTTATTTCCAATTCATTTGCCAAAATTTTTTCTCACACTTTACAAACATAAAAATACACATTCATGTAAATTTGCACAATTTCCTAATTTGCAGACCATGAAAATGTTCGATTTCCTTGCCATCCTCATATATCTTCAATTGTCTGCGAATTTGTTGCCACATTCAAACGCGCAACCCCAGCAGAGTTCAACGGTTTTTACAGAGTTTTCTGCAGATTACAAAAATCAGCACAACAACGATGAGGTAAGTCCCACACGATGGCCAATAAGCGCATCCATGAAAGCAGTTAAATTAAATAATAAATTGTTGGCGTAATTAAAACCGAAAAGAGGTGAGCTAATGTAATGGCGATTTGCTGCGCAGCATGCCATCGAAATTGCGCGTGAAGAAAACCAAAACAGATTATCCATATGCAAATGAGTTTGTGGCCAAGGTGGCAAATGTGGGGTAAAATTGAAGACTTCACACCAAATTAACGAAGACGTGAGCAACTTGACACACAACGCACCTCAAATGTGAAAGAGTTCCCACATAATTACATCACAGCTAATTACTTGTATTTATGTGTGTGTTGTTGGTAATATTTCAGTTTATTGCTTGTCTTTTTAGGTAAAATACGCGTATCACTACTACATCGATCATCCGGAATCCATGGTGCATTTGTACCATCGTGAAGAGCGCAATGGTGCGAGTGTCACTGGCGAGTATGGTTTGCTGGAGCCCAACGGCAATGTGCGTAGTGTCTACTATATGGTGGACGCGAATGGCGGCTTTCGTGCCACTGTGCGCACGCGTACGGCAGCAAGCAGCACACGTCAACTGATTCGATTAGAGCAAAAACAACCTAAGGAACCAATACAACATGCCCAACCAGTGGCTTTTATCAATTGAGGGGAGTATGTGGTAATGCAATATGCAATAGACATGAGAGGAGCGTATATGTACTAAAACTCCAAAAAATTAATATTTTTATAATATACTAATAAAGACGCTTTAACATTTCCAATTATTAACTTCTAAAGAATCTAAAATTTTGTAGAAGGAAACGGGACCCGAAAATTGTGAGAAAATTAAAAAAAATGCATCCAAATTTCGAAGACGTGACAAGTTTGTGACCAAATGAGTTTAACGTCTGAAGGTCGGAGTACTGGTGACTGGAAAGAAATTTCGGCAATCAGACTTTCATATCTTAACCTTGAGAAGTTTATTGGCTATTGGATCCTATTCACAATTATAACCCTTAACAATAACGAAATCTTAATAAACAGTATATTTTTTTGCAGGTTTTATAAAGAAACGAACGCGTCATAAAAATTCATAAAAGATTACATATAACATTTATAAGAAGTAGGTTTTTTATACCCTGAACAGGGTTTATTAAGTTTACCACGAAGTTTGTAATACCCAGAAGGAAGCGCCGGAGACCATATAAAGTATATATATAAATGATCAGTTTGTCGAGTTGAGTCGATTTAGCCATGTCCGTCTGTCCATCCGCCCGTCTGTCTGTCTGCATATATACGAACTAGTCCCTCAGTTTTTAAGATATCGTTTTTATACTCTCGCAACAATGTTGCTAAAGAGAGTATTATAGTTTTGTTCACATAAAAGTTGTTTGTAAGTCCTAAAACTAAAAGAGTCAGATATAGGGTGACGAGTAGAGTTGAAATCCTGATGTCTGTCTGTCCGTCCGTCCGTCCGTGCAAGCTGTAACTTGAGTAAAAATTGAGATATCATGATGAAACTTGGTACACGTACATATTTCTTGGCTCCATAAGAAGGTTAAGTTCGAAAATGGGCAAAATCGGCCCACTGCCACCCCCACAAAATGGCGGAAACCGAAAACCTATAAATTGTCATAACTAAGCCATAAATAAAGATATTAAAATAAAATTTGGCATAAAGGATCGCATTAGGGAGGGCCATATTTGAATGTAATTTTTTTGGAAAAGTGGGCGTGGCCCCGCCCCCTACTAACTTTTTTGTACATATCTCAAAAACTACTATAGCTATGTCAACCAAACTCTATAGAGTCGTTTCCTTCAGGCATTTCCATATACAGTTCAAAAACGGAAGAAATCGGATAATAACCACGCCCACCTCCCATACAAAGGTTATGTTGAAAATTACTAAAAGTGCGTTAACCAACTAACAAAAAACTTCAGAAACACTAAATTTTACGGAAGAAATGTCAGAAGGAAGCTGCATCCAGGCTTTCTTTAAAAAATTGAAAATGGCAGTGGCGTCGCCCACTTATGGACCAAAAACCATATCTCAGGAAGTACTSCACCGATTTCAATGAAATTCGGTATATAATATTTCCTTAACACCCTGATGACATGTAATAAATATGGGTGAGATCGGTTCACAACCACGCCTGAAATTTAGATTATCACTTTATCATGCGAGAGTATAAAATGTTCGGTGACACCCGAGCTTAGCTCTTCCTTCCTTGTTAAATTTAGCAAACGTCATTTCCTCTTCAAGAAGTTGCTCACTTGTCGGAACTGCCGATATCGGACCACTATAACCTATAGCTGCCAAACAAACTGACAAAAGACCGAAGATCGAAATCACTTTCGGAATCATTGAATGGAAAACTTTCACATTTCACAAGATGTATTCACGAAATTTGGTATATACTATTTTCTAAGGCAAAAATGTAATCTCCGAAAAAATTGTTCAGATCGGTTAACTATAGCATACAGCTTCCATACAAACTGAACACATAGTTACTAAAAGAAATGCGCCTGTGAAGGGTATACTAGCTTCGGTGTAGTCGAAGTTAACTTGCTTTTTTTTTTTTTTTGTTTTTTATTACACTTATATCAGAAAAGCTCATAAAAGTTAGAATAAACCATTTACTATATATGACGACATTGACATAGTTCAGCGAATTAAAAGACAGCGGCTATGCTGGCTAGGTCATGTTGTCCGAATGGACGAAAACACTCCAGCTCTGAAAGTATTCGACGCTGTACCAGTCGGGGGAAGCAGAGGAAGGGAAACACCACCACTCCGTTTTAAGGACCAGGTGTTGAAGGACCTGGCTATGCTTGGAATATCCAATTGGCGCCACATGTTGTTAACTCAGCTATAATCGCGTAAGTCGTGTCTACGCCAATTAAGAAGAAGAAGAACCATTTATTTTGGGTTGAAAGTCAAATTAAATTTTGAAACATTTTTTGTATTGACCTTTAATTGACCTCCTTAAATGATCAAATAAATTTTATTTAAACTTTTTACAGAATTATAGAAAATAATTTTTAGAGGCATAATTGTGAAATTTAAAAAAAATCGGACATTTGGTCAATTTTTGATATTTTTTTGACCGTGGGTGGATCGTGGTCGTAAAATTATTCGAAAAATCATCTTCTGTGATGAGTCTCATTTTTGACTGAATGGCTTCGTCAATAAGCAAAATATGCATTATTTGTCAGAGAGCAATCCACACGTACTCCACGAGTCACCATTGAATCCCGAGTGTATTACTTTTTGTACGGTTTATCGGTCGACGTTGATTTCAAACAAATGTCTATCACGATTCTGGATTGCGATTTTTCTCTTGTACATAAGCATACCGTTAGTACTATAATATTTAATATTTAACTTTATGGCAATGATGTAGAAATCATTATGAGAGTAATAATTTGATATTTGTTATATTTTTATGATCTGTAAATTAATATAGTACTAATAATTATCTATTTCTTATTACTTAAATGTCATTTTATGCTAGGTTTTTAATATTCAATACTTCACTCGTTTTAATTTGGATTTTGCCATTTCAAAAAAAAAAAAAAATTTTTGATTAAAAGAAATAACCGGCCAATTAATATTGCCCACTCTAAATATGTCTCTCGATTATATACTAAATATAATATGTATATAAAAAAAATATATTATTTTTGAAAATTCTTTTTCGAAAATAAATAAAATAGCTTTTATCCAATATCACCCCACAACTAAAAATATTTGCTGACATCCAGTTGTGATAACCGGATATATCCACAAGTATTATATATATATTAATTCCCCATTCCGCATATTATCTTAAATGATAGCTTAGCGTGGAACGTCAACGAAAGAAAACCGTTAACAAGTTAACTGAACTATAATTATAAAGAGGTTAAAGAGCAAACTAAACCATTTGTGGCAACTTTTCATTAACTCACCGCCTTAACTAGTGACTAAGTAAACCAGCAGCCTTTCTTGTAGCCACCAACAAATAGTGGCTTTTATAGCAATATTGGCACATAATAAAAATTATAAATTGTTAGTGTATATAGTTGATATTAAATATAGTTGTTATCAAAATAAAAAAAGCAGCAGAAATTGAGTGTTTGCAAACATAAAAAAACATAAAAAATATTCAAGAATTTTCTGACCTATTTTTAGTATCTTAAATGCTAAATATGAACATACTTTCAACGTTTTTAGTATACTTGTGGTAATTTAAAGCCATTTATGACAGAAGAAGATTTTTCCAAAGTGAAACCTTATGCGCAGAAATTTCAGAAGTTAAGTTCAATGTCCTGAGGCATTGAAACATGTTAAACGCTCAGTAATGTACAACTTAACAACTAATTAAAAAACTTTTGGTTTTAAGCACTCTGTGACACGCGAATTCTTTTGTTTATTACCTTCGTTGTTTTTTAGCTACTATCACATTGACTTGCATACATAGTCTTGCACACATATAGTCAGTCACAAATATATTCATCACTTAAAGATTATTTAAGCTATAGCTTACTTGTTTTTAGATAAAAACTGTAAAAGACACCACACAGTAAAAAATAAAAATGTAAATAAAACCTAAATTATTTAATTATTTATTCTTCAATATTTATTTTGCCGCCTTCAAAGTAATCCTCATCAGATATATGCCAACGATTTTTCGAGTCCTCGACTCTTTTTGTAACAACTGTTTTGGGAAGGTCATCAGCTCCTTCAGCGAATTTTATTTTATCTCTTTGTTCGACGGAAAAGGGTATCCACGGAGGGGTAATTTCTGTTCGAAGATCAAGAAAAAATCACACTGAGCCAAATATGGAAAATACGGTGGATGATCGTTGGTATGCACTGCGTTTTTGGTCTTATAATCATATTCGTTTTGAAAAAATTCAGTTTTATCCGTACTGATTTCAACGGACTAGCGAGATATGTCAAACTCTCTTGCCAATCCTCTAACGATTTTCAAACACCGTATTATTCACTTTTTTAAATATTTTCATCTTGAAGATATCGGAGGTCGTTCAGAACGAGGCATGTTTCCAACGATCTCTTGACCTTTGAAAGCTTTGTACCACTCGTAGGTTGTGTTTTTGATAAAAGTGAATCACCGCAAGAATTTTCCAGCATGCGCAATGATTTCATATATGAAACTTGGTTAGAATTACAAAATTTTAGACAAATTTCTTGTTCAATATTTTTATCCATATCGTACTACTGAGGTGTACCCACTTTAAGTAGAGAAGAAGAAGTCTAAAGATATGGATGCTATTCATTGCATGAGTCTTAAGCGAAAATACAGAATTATTGAGATTAAATAAGTGTTTGGTTTTCAGGGCCAAGTCGGTTTCTTTTCACGCTAATAGGGTGATTCCTGATCTGATTTATACTGAATGTTAGGTAAAAAACAAAGTTCAAGTTATAGCTTAACCGCCGCATATGCCATATTTGTTTCCTGAAAGATGAGGAATTCCTCCAAGGAACGCATAGAAAGTTCACTTATATCCGACGAAGACATTTTCCGCAGGAACTAAAGCCAGTACCCGCTTAAATTCTATCAAAACATACCCAGAGAATTGATGAGGAGGAGGAGAATTTATTTGTGTTTAGGGTTTTGAGGGCAACTATGCCAATTGTAGAATGGCTCCTTTGGCTTCTAGCGGTTCACAACTGGATGCTTTAGCTTCAGGCCGGCTCAAGGTGCTCGTGGATAATGATCGTATCAGGTCTAGTGTGGTCGTTGTCTTAAGCAAAATTCCCCTTTCAATAATTGTAGGAGTTCTAACTCTCCGATCAGAATTCTTGCAAAAAGATTAAAAACTTTACCACATACCAGCTCCAAAAGTGATTGACAGAAGATCAGATACTTCCATAATTCCTTCTCGAACGTCCCACCTTTACCAGATCAAGACTAAGACATATCGAGTCTCATACTTTTAAATATCCACAAATACAAATAAACCATCTGAGCAGATTTGTGATAGATTCAAGTCACTTTACCTATAATTGATATACATCCACAAGAGTTTCTTATTTGACTACACAAAGAAATGTACATAGCAGTATAAATGTGATCAACAGTCATATCGATAGATAACCCAAACATACTGTCAAACCTAAAAGTATATTTTTAAACTATTGAAAATATCTTTGGTACTTAATATACCATTAAGAAGTGACTTAAAAGTATATAGCTATCTATTTTTTCAATTTTTCGATAGCACAAATTATAGGAACTAGACCTGAAATGTTATTGATTTTTGTTTATCTTTGATAATTCATAAAAATATTTAATATTTGGAATGTATTCGGAATTTTTTTTGCCTAAAATTAGGTTTCTGGGTTTAGTTACTCGTTTGAGATCATGCAGATTCTTCTTGGATGATTAAAAACTGATTATTTTTGATACCGAATTACTACTCATTATGGATCCAGAAACCCCTACGTATCTTGTTAAGTTATTTACTTTACCGAATTCTCATCATGAAAATTTTTTTAGTTAATTAAACCACTAAATTTTGTATAAGTATATATTTATTCAGTTTTATTGCTCGTTTTCTTATTTATACATTATTATTTATTTACAATTACTTTTCATAAAAAAGCATTCGTTTATTTTTAGCATTCGTATTTACTAGTACGATTACAATTGGTACACAGTGTTTGTTTTATAGCTTTGTTTTTAATATATAACATTATATTTATGTAATTTCATATAACGGTGTATTGTGCGCTACCAACAATACAGTTTAAGTTAAAAAAGTATTACAATAGATATGCATTTTCGTTGCTGCTTTCTTATGGCAAATCAAAAATTAAAAAAAAAAAAAAAAATTGTGAGCCCCAAAAGTGGCATTGATCATGTGGTAAAAGCTAATATTTAGTTAACCTTCATTGGGCGCCTCAAATGCAGCGCACAATGACAGGCAGTTGGCAGAGTTTACAAAATGCAACAAAAATTGTGAAAATGTCAATTATATAACAGTAAATTAAAATGCTAAAGTACTTGATGATTTGTATATTTGCTGTACATTCTTGCTTTTGTTGGTGTAAATGCGTTTGAAAACTTTTTTTTCTCAAATTAATTTGTATTTGTGTTGCTGTAACGTTGCTATATACACGTTCACCTGCTCTTCGCACTCGAGATGGCGTTCACCTGTTGACCTCCCGATGTGTTTATTTTCGTGGTTGTTGTTGTTGATGTAATTGGTAACGGCGCTTGTGCTTTGCTGGAATCGAGGAGGGACTTGCCTTTTAACAGCGACTGATCTTTCTCGTGCGCCCACTTGGCTTGTGTGGCAGCTGCGTTGGCAGCTATAGGTGTTGCTGCGGCGGCGCTAACGGTATTTTGTCGTGTTGATGCCGCGCTGTGTGGTTGTGTTTCATTTGCTGCTTTTTCGGCTGGCCGAAAGGCGTTTGGTGCGGCAATTTGTGGCAACTGTTGTGTGCGTATGAACTGCTCTTGATTGAATGCGTTTGTGTAAGGTTTTTCGATGGGTAGTGCCAATGCAGAAAGTGGATACTGTAATGAAAAGGTAATGAGTGGTGTGAGTAGATGAAGCGAAGCTTGATATTAAACCATAAAAGTTGGTGTCTAAGGAATTTTGAGGGGTTAAATTCACTAGCGAATTTCAAAATACCACATTTTCTTTTTGCAATATATTGAATGTATATGCATTTGAGAATATTCTCTCAAATTTTCAAGTTGCAAAAACGTTTTAAATTAGTCTAATCAGCTCACAAATCTTTAAATTTTTTGAGATATCGATATGAAATTTTATGCACACCCTTTTCTCCAAAAAAAACTGCTTAAACCGCGGATATCAGACTATACCACATAGCTGCGATACAAATTGATGGATAAAAAATATGTTCATGTATGGAAAACTTTTTTATTTGACGATATATCTTCTCGAAATTCAGTACCGATTATTATTCCAAGCAACTATAAAATCTTCAAAGAAATTATTAAGATCGGACTACTATAGCACATAGCTGCCATATAAATGAACCGATCAAAATCCAGTCCTTTGTTGAAAACTTTTTTATTTAACAAAATATCTTCACGAAATTTGTTAAAAATTATTGGCTAAGTAAACACTACATTCTCCGAGGAAATTGTTCAGATCGAACTACTATAGCATATAACTGCCATATAAACCAAACGGTTGAAATCCAGTTGCTGTATGGACAATTTTTTAGGTGACTAAATATCTTCACGATTTTTTTTACAAATTATTGCCCAAGCCAAGACTACATTTTCCGAGGAAATTCAGATCTATATACTACCATAGCATATAGCTGTCATAAAAACTGAGCGTATAAAATCAAGATAAAAATTTTTTTATACCAATTCTGCTATAACAAATGCACCTGTGAAGGGTATTATAGCTTCGGTGCAACCAAAATGAAAATTTTTTCAAGTTTTATGCCACTTCAAACAAAAAAATTCTCGAAAACCCCATTTTTTCTGACTTGCAATCGAATATAACCAGTTAAATGAGCAATGCAAGGAGTGAGTGTTAAAATGTGTGCGGGGGTGGTGATTTGGTTCATAAACAAAGAGCGTATTACAAGAGTGTACACTTTAAAGTAAATTTTTAAAAATTCAAGGTTTCGTGTTAATTAAACTAACTTAAATTAAAATCTTTTATCAAAAATCTTATTTTATAAAAATTTCTTCAAAATGTTCAACAAAAATAACATAAAAAAATTTTCTCCTTAACCTCAAACTCCTCACTATTTACTACTTACAAATAACACTACTACTACTACAACACAAAAAGAACATATACAAAAAAAAATCAATATTAAATATTACAATGTCGTAAATTGTTACTTTATTTATAATAATAGATTCTTACATAGTTTTGTGGCACGTATTTGACCTTCTCGTATGCCTTGTACTTTTTCGTTTTGGCATTATAGTATTTGCCATGCAATTTATTGTTCACGTCGAAGTAATTGCCGCCACCGTTGTTGCGATTGGCTTGATTGTTGTTATTGTAGTTGTTATTGTTGTTATTGCTGTTGTAAGTAGGCGCCACCACCGCTGTGTACCGTATACCAACATTCGGTATATATTTCGCTGCCAAGCTACCGCCGCCCACATTCGTACTGCCTTGCTGGGTGAAGGCATTCTCGTTGGAGGGCAGCAAGAGGTTGCCATAGTAGTGCAGTGGCCTTTGACCGGCGTTGCCAACATTATTACCGGTTGTACGTGGTCGCGACGGTGGCGGTAAAATGTAACTGAAAGATAGCAAAACGGTTTATAGTTAGAAATTATGCGCTGCTAAATTAAACTATAAAATTTTATGATAGTACAGAGGATAGTGGAAAATAACGGTATTTTTTAAATAATGCGCTCTTTCTCAACATTTATTTACTTTACCAAAGGCGAAGGTGTATTTATTTGCTTCCAATAGTCAGTGGTAAATGGCTTAGAGAATTTTGTATGATTTTAAAATGAATTTACTATGTTGAAGACTATCGAAAGTTAAAGCATTGTTATGCCAGTTATATTATACATATATTACTAATGATAAAGTGCAGCGTCTTAAATCAATTGCAATAATATAAATCACATATTAATAATTTATTAAAATTTATTTATTTTACGCCAAATTCGAATTATAAGCGAGCGATGGCTTGGCGGGTTGCCAAATTTTTTACTGTACCAAAATAAGTATATAAATTATAATAATTTAAAGTCAACTAAAAATTATTATTTATATTAAGTATTAAGTAAGGAGATATGCATTTACACCGATAGCAAAGTTGCTATACAGGCCTTTAGCTCGCTGACTTTGAGCTCAAAGCTAGTCGGGAAATGACCTCACTAGCAGTAGTAAGCTGCTTTCATATTAAACTGGCTTTAATGCATGTTCACAATGGAAGTATCTTCCAAGAAAGAGCATACGTACCCAAATCCTGTTAGGATTGGTACGTAAAATACATTTATTTTTACGTGCTTTCTAATATTCGATCTATGGCTCTCAAGTCGAGCATGAGAGGTCTACTGAACTCCATGCTCTTATCAAGGCCAAACATTTTGGATAACTCAAATTGTCACTGTTGCATCAAGGAAGATGAGGTGGAAGCTTGTAAAGACTTGTTCCTCCTCTGTTTAGCTGTGGCCAGACTTGTTCTAAATATGACTAAATATGACTCTCGGTCAGACTAAAGTTGAAACATCTCTCTTGCCATACTTTCAGCGAATCAAGAAAATTTTCTGGAATTTATATAAGCTGGCTCAATACATTTGTGGCAGCTTCAAGGCGTTTTGTGGCTATTTTTTTTTTTTTTTATTATATCTACGTGTTCTGGGTATCAGAAGGATCGGGCGTCTCGAGCCGTGGACTTGGAAATATTCGTGGTCTTCGGAGTATTAGTCTGTTTACCTAACCTAACCTTTATGCTTGTTTTTTTTGTACATTCCAAAGCCTCTTGTTCCTTATACTTATATTATTAAAATTTGGTGCATACAATAAAAAAAAAATACCTTCCTAAAAATTTTCAATACGCACATGTTGGAAATGAGTTGCCACATATCAAAAAAAGATAAATTGCAAAGAAAAAAATTGTATAAAATTTATCTTTTTTGAGCCAAGACAAGGAAAACAGACTTTTTTGGTTTAGCAATTTTTTCCACTAATTTTGTAGTAAAGTCTAAATAGTTAGTGTTTCCCTAACAAAAATTGCCTACAAACTGAACGGTTTTGTAGTACAAAAATATGACTTTATGACTGTTGAAATGCAATCCTGCATATAACAACGTACATATCCATGCAACTCTGATGTATTCAAAATGAAATCGCATTGTAACTGAACTTTATTGTACTTATACATTTTCTCACTCTTGTTCTAACCATTGAAGTAAAAACAACTATCTAAATAAAAGAGTTTAACAAAATTAACAGGTTATGGGCCCAGGTGC